AAAATTTATAACTTTTCAAGGTGTTCTACATTTAATAAAATTATTCAAATTATTCAAATTAAATTCATATTTTTTTGAAATACTTGAATAATTTAATGAATTTCAAAATTTTTCTATTGAAATAATAAAGAAAACCGATTATTAAAAAAAAAAGTGAAATAAAAATTTATTTGAATTATCGATTTAAAAATTGTAAAGAAGAGATGATAATTTATTGTATTATCGCAGTGTTTTGAATCGATGGATAAACGAGGCGTTCGTAAAGATTGATAAGAGAGGGCGGAGAAGATGTGTTGAAAGTATTAATGAAAACGAGGGTTCTCGAAGTTGGGTCAATGGCATAACTCGAAGGGCGTAACAACTCGAATTTAACAATGTTCATGTATAATATCTATAGAACGTTTTGCCGTTTTTATTTTTGTACAAATAAATTAATCGGTAAATAGAAATAATAGGCTTATTTATCGAGTTGTAAGCAATTTAACAATTTTATACAATATATGTTTTTGAATGATATTTAAGTAAGTCATATGAAGAATCAGTTAATCAATCAAAGATATGACATAGTTGTGAGAATATTTATTTTGAGAAAAAGAAGAAAAAGCAAGAGAGAGAATATTGAGAATATTATTGTATAATTTTTTATTATTATTTAACATTTTATTATTATTTTATTAAATATTTTACAATAAAAAAGTTTGTAATAGATCTTTAACAAGTAGAATTTTTTTATTTTTGAAGTTGTGAAGTATAGTTTTTCAATATTTAGTAGAAAAGAATAAATCAAAAAAAAGAAGAAGACGTTTTCATTATTTCGTCTCCTTCTCTCGGCTATGATCGATATAGGAAGCCATCTTAGAACGTAGCATAAACTTGTATATTAAATGTATTAACTGGCTATGGAGCTAATAAGACACATAATTTTATCGACAGCGAGCGTTTTACGACATCAAAGCGAATCCATAATTACATTTACATTGGCAGGGCATTTATATGCGTTCACGTGCATACTGCAACGTTTGTGTGCATCCCGCTTCTCCTAGCTAATCAATCGCAACGACCGACTGCCTATGAGAATCGCTTTGCTTTCATATTTACATATTCCAATTCAGTTAAAATTTCTTAACTTTCTCCTTTCGTCTCTGTTATATTTTTCAAGGAAGAAAATTTCAGATTTAGAAAATTCCAGGATAGAAAAATTCTGTTAATTTTTTTCTCGAAAATTTTGAAACTATCGAATCGAAAATGTTTCTTACAAAAGAACGATGTTTTCTTGGTAGTTGGGCGAATCGATAAATCAGAAGGAAGGGAATAAGGAAAAAGTGCGATAGCCGATAATTCACCAATGCCGCTGCATTAATTGGGCGTCAGGTACACGTAACGCTGCTAGCTCGGCCGCGTAATTATGTCGACGGTCGATCAACATCGTAAAACACCGAATTATTATTGGACCTAGGAAGAGAGAAGAGCGCGTGTAATATCGATCGCTCAACATCATTCCACCACAATGACGATACGATATATTGCCCACACCGCAACTTTCATTCGATTTTATTATTACCTAGTAATCACCTTCTTATTTATATAATTGAAGAAAATAATATTGTATTTGTGAATTTTTAAATTATCAAATAGATGAATTTATGTCGTTAAATTATAATTTAGAAATCTTTTAAATAAAATTGATCAATTTTCTTTATAGAGATATAGGTTTTATAGATTATTTTTTTGAATCGATATGAGATAGAAAGTTTAACAAGTTAGAGATTTATCTCTATCTTGATGTGTAATAGACAAAATGTAATGGATTAGCCCGTTTTCGAGAAGAAGGTTAATATGTAACATCGTTACGCCACGATCTACCGATAAAGTCGATTGCGTAAAATACTTTGTCATCCCCATCCGCTAGAGGGTTCTCTTAGCAAATGTTCGTTTTAGGGTATTATCTACTTTCGATACAATAATTGAAATATTCGAATTACGTATATAAATCTTTCATTATTTTTTTGTAATTTTAAAATTTAACAAATGCTAATCGAGATTTATGTTTCGAAAGCTATTTTAATTGTTTATAAATATGAATAATAATATAATATACATCATTCTAATATTTAAAACTTGTAGTTGGAACGCAATGAAACAAAATTGAATGAAATCGAGCAACGATGTTTTCTATACGCATATGAGTATACATGCTCATATTATATTACCGTTCTAACCTGCTTTTACTCTTTCCTTCGCTTGATCCACGATCCCTTTTCTTGCTTCCTGCTCGTCCATCTTTTTCTATCTGTATCTTTGGAAAATTTCAGTTGAAATGAGCCCATTTTTAGTACCTTGTTATTACTCATACGAAAAGAATCTATTTCGTTCGGAATTTTTTATCAATCGAACATTAAATTTAATGCAAATTTTTAGAAATTTAAATATATAATTATCATTACATCATTATTATATCGAAACATTTTTATGTCAACATTTTATGGAAATTTGAAATATTCATTTCTCTTCAACTTTTACTTTTGAAGTCATTTTAGGTTGAAAAGACAAGCCAAGAATGCTTGGCTATCACGAATTATGATCAGTTGAATCCATCAGTGAACAGTGTCGAGGAGATTTCAGCGTTGTTGGAGGCTAAACAGAACGGACTGATCGATCGGATTTACTGGCAGGAGGCGTCTTGAAATTCCGTCCTTTGCCGGTAGTCCTTGCGAATGCCACAAATTGCTTTCAATGGTGTCACATAACATCTCGAATCATTTTGACTATTATTCCAAAACCGTCCAAAATATCAAAACCATTCCAATTGAATATTAAGAAAGAGAAAATTTTTTCGGAAATAAATATAAAAATAAATTAATTTTATTTACTGATCATTTATATTTCATATCAATGAAATATATCGAGATTTTGATAAAATTCTATTATAAAAAATTTCTTCTTATGTTAAAAAAATAAATAAATAAAATTACAGTAAAGTTACTTTGCGTGGTTCAGCTTCAAGTTTCGCGGATTAAAAATATTAAAAGCAGTACGAGCTTGCGGCCAGATAATTGCCAGACGTAACGAACGATGCGCACAATGCGAGGTGAAAAACAAACCAACATCAACTCTGTATGTATACGCGCACGCACGCGCGCAAACCGCCAGTAAAATTCTTTGACTCTCTCCCCTATGATGCTGTGTTTCGTTCTTCTTTTTGTCCTCGTCTTCTCCCTCCCTTTTGATCATCGCGGCACCACCGCGGTCTTTTTAAGCAAAAGGAAACTACCTTGTTGAGAAATTAGAGAAAAGAATGCAACCATGGTTGTATTATCTTGAATTTTTTTTTATTATTTTATATACATACATATTTTATTAACATTCGATTAAGAGTATATTAAGAAAAATATGCAATATTGAAAATGAAATCAAAATTAATAATAAAATTCAGATATTTTACAATGTCACAAGAAATAATTCATCATGTACAGAATATAAGTGAGGATGAAAACGAATTTAAAAAAATAAACTGAATCTACATCTTTTGAAAAGTAATTAAATAATTATTTAAATAATTATCAGTCTCTTAAAATTATACTAAACATCATATACTTATTATTAAAAATTCTTTTATTTATGAACGTCAGTTTAGTTATGAAAAAATAAAAATAGCATGTTTTTCAAACAATCTTTGAAAGATTCTAAAATTAGATACTTACAATATTTACGAAGAAACTCGTATTCTTGTTACGGGCAACATCTTTTTGTGCACGTAACACAAACGGATCTTTAATTTTCGTGGCGGAGTACGACAGATACCGTAACTGTGCGGCGAGACGGATCCCCCTCCGCGGTATCGATTGCGCCCTCGTGTGTCGTCGTAAAACTTCGGAGATGATCGCAGTCTCCATCGGTTGTGGGCCACTGGCAGGTGCGTAGGATGAGGTCAGGAGCCCGGTTTCATTCGGATTCACGGACAAGGTCCGTGAAATGATGTCATCCTTATCTTCGAAACTATATCATCTTTCATTAATTACATATATCTTATTTATTTATTTTACGTTTTATATATAATTGTGAAGATAAACTTTGAACATAAAGAGATAAGAAAAAGATATTTATTTTTTATTCCTCGTCTTATCAAAATTATTATCATTGGTTTGTTTTTATTACGAAAGATATATAAAAAAATATAGATAATCCATAAATAAGTCATTTCAGAATTCGAAACTTTAAAATTTAAAAATTTTAAAAAAGAATTTTTTAATGTTGTATTATATAATTTGTTGAATTTAATTTTTTTTTAAATAAAACTTACTACATTTAAATCAATGATAGATATCTAAATATGATCATATGAAATGTGAAATGTGAAATAATCGGTTTTTCGTATATTTTTATAAAATTACAAAAAAAACAGTAGATAATGAAATATCAAGAAATCCTTTTGAACAGTGTTTATTTAATACAATGTTGCATAGACTTTTAACCGTAATTGCATGCCTTTCACCAAGGCATAATTAAATGGGCTACTGTTTCGTCATGTTTATGCGTTACCAACAATTAATGTAATATATATATCCAATCAAAAAATTGACTTTAAACCAATTGCCATTTATATGTGAAAAAAATTTTTTAATTATTATTTTTTATTCTTTTATAAGTTATGAACAAAAAATACATTATTATAAATTATGAATTAAAAAAAAAGAAAAACATTATTATAAATTTTAAATATTTAAAAAAAAAACTATTATTTTTTTATTTTCTAAATTAATTAAAAAAAAATTTAATATTTAAAATTTCGTCAGATTGATAAAATTCGAAATCGAAAGTGTTACGATTTTCAGACAATAGATTAGATATATCGGTTATCGGTCAAGACTCGGTTAAAAAGATCTGTTCGCTATTATACAAAGAATACAAGAATTGACGCAAAGAGGATTTCCCGGAACAAGGATTATTTAAATCCGGCCTGAAAGCTATTTCAATGGAGACACCGATATGCCGTGTTACCTCCACCCTTCACGTATTCTCATACCCTCGTTGACAACCACCGCGCCCACGCTCCTCTTAGAACAACAACCGAAAGGAGTCAAGGTCATCGCTACCATTATTTTTCTTTTCTAACATTTCCTTGCCTTTATTTTAATCGATTCAAATATCAACAATAATATATTTTTCTAATCTATTTTAACTTTATTATTACATACATCTATTTTAACTTTTTATTATCTGATTATAAATTAAATTTAAATTTTTTTTAAATTTGAAAAAATTATTTCGCAATGAAATGATTTTTTAGGTTTCTGAAATATTTTCTATAATGTATATTATTTACAAAATACAAATGTTATTATCTTAATCTAAAGATTTAATTGATATATAGGTAGACGATAAGAAATTAAAACATTGCTATGACGTGTAGCAAGCTCGAAAATGATTGTGCTTAGTAGATCGGGGCCGCGTATTTCCGCTTTTCTTGCGCGTGTCTACTATTTAACCTCGTTTGTTCCATATCTTCTGCCTTGTTGTCTCTGTTCCCGTGCTCCCTTCTTACATTCGATCATTCCAAACATCGAATTATCAAAAGAATCACGAAAAACACAAAAAAAGAAAACAAACTTTCGATTTTGTACGCGTCGCATCGAGTCGTTTAGTTGAAAATGTCATCAGGTTAAGAAAGCTGCACACGCAGTATTGTGTTTATTATTTTCTTACCGGTCTCTTCCCACCTTAATCATACATAACCTACTTGTTTTATCGTATATTTTTTTATCCTCTTTAATTTTAATTATCTACATATATAATAATAATCACTCAAATTTTTCTATAATTTCTTTAACAGTTCCTATAATTAAGTATCGAGTATTTGTTAAAGAGGTAGAAAAATGTTGGATAGAAACGAGGTTGCTCGTAAAGAAGAACGACATGATTGGTTGCAGAGAAAAAGAAGTTTATTTTCCAGTTAGTTATTGGTAAGACGGCAGGTATCTATGTGTTTGACTGTTAGTATCTAGCCGAATCTACAGTACATTCGATGTCGCTTTTAATTCGGTAAGAAAGTGGGTTTCTAGGTCAGAGAGCTGCGATATACACAGCTGACGGGCACAGACAAACGGTTTCACACGACTCTTGGGGAAACGACTTTCTTTGGGCCAGTGCCGTATCGCGTCAACTTTGTCTCTAGATATTCATGTCCGACTGATCATTTCACACTTTATATTTTGCATTCTCGTGTCATGTATTTCAATTATATTATCTATTTAGTATTGAGATTGCAAGTACTCGTTATATTATGATTTATTTTTTCGTGAAAAGAATTGTTAATCTTAAATATATTTACAAATTAGGAATAATTATAATTTATTAATTAATTATATATAATTATCGAGTTGTTCGAATTCGAGGAAGTTGATCGTGATATAATTAAGAAAGGTGTCGGATTACGATTGCGTTATAAAACTCAACGAAGTCGAAGATGATCGGAATTTAATGGGATTGTATTACGTTACGGCTGTTTCGGAGAAACACACGAAGCAGTAGGGATATTTTTGCTGAGAGTGAAAGTCTGTAGGTTCGATGGGGCAACGTTAACTTTTACATTTTCTGTCATGGAATGTAAGTACACATTGATTGGTCGTCCTAAGGCTTTCTCAAGTTTGTTTAATTTTACATAAATTCGATGCAATGTTATTATGTAGGATTACATTTAATTAAAGTTTTTTAATTGCAATGTGAATTGTATATAATAAATAATATACATAAAAGCTTGATAAGAGATGCAATTACAAATATTTCTTTCATAAGTATTTCTTAGCAGCTTTCGATACTTCGTTTCTTAATTTTTTTTATCAACAATATAAAAATTTGATTATTTGTTTATCAATGGACTTATATCCAGTTGTTAATTTGTCACTGTTGAATCTTAATTATCGATTGTGTATTTTTAATGTATATATGCATATATCGATATATTCATAATTTTTGATATATCGATTTTAATTCGACGTAATACGCGTCTTACATTAGATCCGTCACGCGCCGTTTTGTCGAACTCTTACGATCTGTCACGAAAATTGCCGAGTCACGAGACCTTGCGCTAAGCGATCAACTCGCTACTTCTAACCGATTAGTGTTTGAATATCTGTGAATTACGTAATACGAAATTAATTCTGGCGATTACGTTGTTCAGAATCATTTTAAACAATTACCAAAATAGACTAACAAACATTTTATTATAATAATTTTTAATTCATTATTTTAAATTGAATCAATGATTATTTCATAATTGTTTATCCGAAAATATATATAGTGAAACGAGGTGTGTGATAAAACAATCAAAAAATATGAAGGAATCGGAAATGAGCAGGCGAGGTTGGAAAAGCAATGGAGAAACCTAACTGTACACATGCTGCAACGTGAACGTAGAGGACAAAGTGGGGATTGTCAGGTAGGATAAGAATGTCGGGCACTACACCGGTTGGGAAATGAATTGTGACGTGGCTTGGCATTGAGAAAGACACGCGTGTATACTTATACACGGACATAGTGAGTCGAACTCGTCTATTGCGATCGCGTTGTCTAATTCCTCGTGCGACCTGATTTCTCAAATATAAGCAAAGTCGTTGGAAACGCGGTATTCATTTTCCCTTAATACTTCCGTTTCTTATATATTTTTCAAACGAGTGTAATATTAACTTCATGCCAAATATATATTCCATTGTTTATATGATTAAAATTCATTATTTTTTTGCATATATCATAATTATAGTATTT